AAATCGCATTACAACTATGTTGGAACTGTGAAGAGGTACTTGACTTTGTAATGAAGTAGCAAAATAAGAGATAGGTAGAGATAGAGAGAGAGGGTGAGAGGTAATTAAGTTAAGTCAATTGAAACTTGAAAGGAGAATTACAAACTTCATTGATTAGTCAATGATGATTTGTTTTGATGTAGGTCACAGTGAGTGTAGATTACTGGCTGTTTGTCTTTACTCCCTTCACTTAATATACATTTCTATTTGAAAATGAACATGTGTTCGATTACTATTTAAGTAGTATATAGTTTGATTGATTCGGTTTAATCATTTTTGATTGTTGTACATCTGCTATAATAGTGTTTATTGTTAATGTATAATGGTTGTTGTGATTTGAATTGAGGAATGGAAATCATCATGAATGATAAAGAAGAAGAAGCGAATTGATGAGTTTGGAAAATCAAGAAAGTGAATCTGTTTTGTATTGTATGATTGAATCTTTTGCATTGATGTTTGAGACTGCAAATTGATCAGTTTTTAATTGACATATGTGCGTCCTTTGTGGATTACTTTGATATTGTCACCAATTGGTATACATTATAAACACAAATGAATGGCGATAAACTGTGGAATCCACGATGTGCTTTTCTTCCTTTTTGAAGATCTGTTAGCACATGGTTTATGTTACGATTTTTACGTTACCTTTAAATCGATTGAAGTGTACCGGCCGCAACAGATGTGCTGGAGCTCTGACTATTTATCCACAAGTTAATTATCAGCCATTACATAATGACTATTCATACGGAAGTTAACAGATCTTAAATTAGAATGGGGTAAATGATAAGAGTTCGTATTGTACTTCCAGGGATTTATTAATTACAGTTGATTCAAGGAAATATCGTTTCTATTTTTCTAATCAGCTAATTAATTTTCTGAATATTGTAATCAATATGTGTGCTTTTTTCAGCCAACAACTAGTATTCCTTGCTAGTCATTATGTAATACACCTAATCACTACATAATCACAAAGAGATAACGTGAAATCTTTAACATGAAATTTAGATTATAGAGTATGATAATCAAAATTTTTCTTTGATTTCAATGAAAATGTTCATAATTTGTGTCATTATTTTTTTGGGGGGGGGGGAAACAATCACGTATCTACTTCTTTCTATAAGCATTTTATTATATAGAAAATAATTTGTACATAAAAATATCGTTTTTATCTACATTATTTATTCGACCTTATTGTCCATTGGGTTATTACATGAATCATAGGATTTCTGTTAAATTAGTACTAAGGTAGATAGATAGATAGATAGACAGATGCGTGGATAGATAAATAGATAGATAGATAGATAGATAGATAGATAGATAGATAGATAGATAGATAGATAGATAGATAGATAGATAGATAGATAGATAGATAGATAGATAGATAGATAGATAGATAGATAGATAGATAGATAGATAGATAGATAGATAGATAGATAGATAGATAGATAGATAGATAGATAGATAGATAGATAGATAGATAGATAGATAGATAGATAGATAGATAGATAGATAGATAGATAGATAGATAGATAGATAGATAGATAGATAGATAGATAGATAGATAGATAGATAGATAGATAGATAGATAGATAGATAGATAGATAGATAGATAGATAGATAGATAGATAGATAGATAGATAGATAGATAGATAGATAGATAGATAGATAGATAGATAGATAGATAGATAGATAGATAGATAGATAGATAGATAGATAGATAGATAGATAGATAGATAGATAGATAGATAGATAGATAGATAGATAGATAGATAGATAGATAGATAGATAGATAGATAGATAGATAGATAGATAGATAGATAGATAGATAGATAGATAGATAGATAGATAGATAGATAGATAGATAGATAGATAGATAGATAGATAGATAGATAGATAGATAGATAGATAGATAGATAGATAGATAGATAGATAGATAGATAGATAGATAGATAGATAGATAGATAGATAGATAGATAGATAGATAGATAGATAGATAGATAGATAGATAGATAGATAGATAGATAGATAGATAGATAGATAGATAGATAGATAGATAGATAGATAGATAGATAGATAGATAGATAGATAGATAGATAGATAGATAGATAGATAGATAGATAGATAGATAGATAGATAGATAGATAGATAGATAGATAGATAGATAGATAGATAGATAGATAGATAGATAGATAGATAGATAGATAGATAGATAGATAGATAGATAGATAGATAGATAGATAGATAGATAGATAGATAGATAGATAGATAGATAGATAGATAGATAGATAGATAGATAGATAGATAGATAGATAGATAGATAGATAGATAGATAGATAGATAGATAGATAGATAGATAGATAGATAGATAGATAGATAGATAGATAGATAGATAGATAGATAGATAGATAGATAGATAGATAGATAGATAGATAGATAGATAGATAGATAGATAGATAGATAGATAGATAGATAGATAGATAGATAGATAGATAGATAGATAGATAGATAGATAGATAGATAGATAGATAGATAGACAGATGCGTGGATAGATAAATAGATAGATAGATAGATAGATAGATAGATAGATAGATAGATAGATAGATAGATAGATAGATAGATAGATAGATAGATAGATAGATAGATAGATAGATAGATAGATAGATAGATAGATAGATAGATAGATAGATAGATAGATAGATAGATAGATAGATAGATAGATAGATAGATAGATAGATAGATAGATAGATAGTTAGGTAGATAGATAGATAGATAGATAGATAGATAGATAGATAGATAGATAGATAGATAGATAGATAGATAGATAGATAGATAGATAGATAGATAGATAGATAGATAGATAGATAGATAGTTAGGTAGATAGATAGATAGATAGATAGATAGATAGATAGATAGATAGATAGATAGATAGATAGATAGATAGATAGATAGATAGATAGATAGATAGATAGATAGTTAGGTAGATAGATAGATAGATAGATAGATAGATAGATAGATAGATAGATAGATAGATAGATAGATAGATAGATAGATAGATAGATAGATAGATAGATAGATAGATAGATAGATAGATAGATAGATAGATAGATAGATAGATAGATAGATAGATAGATAGATAGATAGATAGATAGATAGATAGATAGATAGATAGATAGATAGATAGATAGATAGATAGATAGATAGATAGATAGATAGATAGATAGATAGATAGATAGATAGATAGATAGATAGATAGATAGATAGATAGATAGATAGATAGATAGTTAGGTAGATAGATAGATAATGTATATTCAAAGTTCTACAAGACAAGTCGAATTAGTTTGCATGTTTCACTTAAGGACACATTAACCACATAATGTATAAATAAAAGGTCAGAAGTGGGGAGAGCGGTAAATAATGACTGACGATGATGATGTAGATCGTATAAAAGATAAATATCTTTATTAAATCAGTCTTTGGAATTTGAATAATATAGTAATGCGATCATTCTATGATGTTTACATTTTAATAACTTGACCTGAAAGCAAAAAGTGATTAGGTTATTCTTTGAAGATCATTTCTATTAGTAAATATAGGTCATGATGTAATCATTCAGCTAATATGTATATAAATCTATATAAGTAATATGCTTCAATATGTATGTGAATGTATAAAATAAGTATTGAATAATAGAAAATGAATTGAATTATGGTTAGTAATGTTAGTTTATGGTGAAAGAATAATTTAATATTCTTATTTTAATTTCGTGGATTAGTTGAAGTTAGACATTAACACCGTTGGATACTGACCGGTTCAGTGGTCTAGTGATTAAGTGCTCTCGTGCGAAACCAGTATGTCCTGGGTTCGAATCTCGCGGGGGACGAGGTCGTGGATGCGCACTGCTGAGGAGTCCCACAATAGGACGAAACGGCTGTCCAGTGCTTCGAGGTTTTGCATGGTGGTATAGCTTCAACTGACTCATGATCTTAACCATTGAAATTAATTTTAATAGTTGAGATCATGAATCAATTGAAGTCAGACCATCATGAAAAATTTGAAAGCAGTGGACGGCCTTTTCGTCCTATTTTAAAATTCCTCAGCAGTGCCCATTCATTTTATCTTAAGCTAAAACTATACTTTATTATGTCAAAATGATTCACTTTTATTGAGGACTTAATGTTTTGAGCATCTTGAGAAGGATCTATTATATACATATATGTTACAAAGGGATAAATATGTAATTCAGTTATCTTGTAATATTTTTGGAAAGGGATTTTGTGGAGATTTTAGTAATTTCTTAGTTGAATTCATTAGTTAATTAAAGCTAAACAATCATGGAAATTGTGGAAGCATTGGACGGCCTTTAATCGACTCATAAAATCAATTATTAAATTATTAAAATTTCCACAAACCACCATTCTGATCATAATCATTATATGTACACTAGTGACTGGCTTCAAGATGTATATCCTGGAGTTCTAGTGAGAAGCCGTGACCAATGGAGTTCAATCGTGTCTGTTGTGAGATAGTAACTCATTGAAGACAATGATGAACAATGGCACAATTTCGTGAATGAATTGAAGTTAGACATTAACACTATTAAATGTCAACTCAGTGATCTGAAGGTTGAGCGTTCGCGCGCTACAACGATATGTTCTGTGTTCTAATCCCTCAAGCGGGATCGTGGATGCGCACTATTGTTGACTCCCATACTAAGACGAAATGATCGCCCAGTGCTTCCAGGTTTTCCATACTGGTCTAGCTTTAATTAACTCATGATCTCAACTATTAAATTTACTATAATATCCACAAAACTCCTTCTGATACTAATATCAACTTGTAAACAGAATTGAAGAAAATTAACACAACCATTTCGAAAATGTATATCAAGATGTTGATTTTCGTCGCTTTAAAATAGAAAAATCCTCTATTTATAATTATTAAATTATAATGAAGTTACCAACCTTAACCCGAGGTTTGGTACGTTTATTTTTTTCATTCGATTCAACATTGAACCCAGCATTTCCTTGATTCAATTTCAACAGTTCAGGATCTTTGCAAAAGAAGAAAGAGAAACAATCGAAAAGAAATTTAAGGACTTAGATAATGCATATATATATTAGTCAACAATGAATATGATTGATGATATAACATTTCAAAAGATGACTCTATAAAGAAAGCTGATTCGTAAAATAAGAATTTTAATAGTTGAGACCATGAAAAACCTGGAAGCACTGAATGGCCATTTCGTCCTAGTATGGGACTCCTCAGCAGTGCGCATACACGATTTATCCTCGCGAGATTACAACCCAGGACTTATCAGTCTCACGCGCTAGCGCCTAACCTTTAGATCACTGAACCGGCATCCAACGGTATTAATGTCTAACTTCAACCAATCCACGAAATTACGCCACCGTTCATTAAGTCATCAATGAGTTGCCATCTCACAACAGAACTGGTTGAACTCCACTGTTTACTGCTTCTCACTAGAACTTCAGGAGATACCTATGACGAGTTCCACAGTAGAATGAACCAGCTGTCCAGGACTTTCAGATTTTCCATGATGGTCTAGCTTCAATTGACTCATGATCTCAACTATTAAAGTTACTATAATATCCACAAAAACCCTTGTGATATTAAAATAAGAATTGGTCAAAAGCAGTTGTTGAGGAATTCAATGAAGTATTGGAGATTATAAACCAGAATTTTTGTGGATTTCCAAATCAGCCTTCGGTAATGATTACAGTTAGTTGTTTATGAAGTTTGCTTGAATTTGTCTTGAACTTATTGTAGAAAAATATTGTAAATAAATAGAAATAGATGATGATTAGCAGTAGAATCTATGACATGCATTTTATCCTATTCGGGATTCATCAATTGGATGTAAATACAACACACAGTTGATGTTCATTTAGGGACTCCAACTTTAATTGATAAGTCGATTAAAGCTAAACTACAATACAAAACCTGGGAGCACTGAACAATTCAAGTCCTATGTGCCAGATCATGGAGATGCACTGCTGAGGAGACCTATACTAGGACGGAACGACTGTCCAGTGATTCCAGTTTTTCCAAATGACTTTGTCAAGATATTCTCATAACAGACTATCCATTCATTGTAGAATTTGATGAAAAATAGTTGGGCATATTGAAAGATGAATAATATTATTAATAGTAAATAAAATTTATTAAAGGATTCTTAAATACGTTTAAACAATCCTCCTTAAAGAATGCAACACCTTCAAAATATTCCTCATAAGCTACATATACCTATTTTCTTCATTGTCAGAAAATATGATGATTATACTCACTAATGACTGGCTTCAAGAAGTAGTTTCTACAGTTCTAGTAAGAATGTGTGATCAGCGGAGTTCAACCAGTTCTGTTGTGACATAGTAACTCACTAAAGACAATGGTGGACGGTGGCGCAATTTTGTGGGTTGGTTGAAGTTAGACATTAAAACCCTTGGATCCCTCTTAGTGGTCTCGTGGTTAAATGTTTCCGTGTGAGAATGAAGTTCCTGAGTTCTAATGCCGCTTGTGGAATCGTGAATGCGCATTGCTGGGTAGTCCCACAATAAAACAAAACGGTCGTCCAATGTTTCCAGGTTTTCAGTGGTGGTCTAACGTCAATCAGTTCATGATTTTAATCAAAACCTAACAATCTCCACAACCCCTATACTGATATAAATTATTGATTTTATAAACAAAGATATATGTTTCTTCACTGTATTGATTAAACTACTATAAGGACTTAACAAACATAATATTGATTACTACTTAGTGATTGATTATTAATTTAGGAATATTTATGATAAATAGTGATCGGTAATACTTCAAATAAATCGATAATGAATTCATTTACTGTAACATTGAATAGTATGAATTTGAATTAAATTCATGAATCAATTAAAACTAGATCATTATGGAAAATCTGAAAGTTTCACTGGATAGCCGTTTTATCCTACTATATGACTTCTCAACAGTGCGCATCTACGATCCCACCTTGCTAGATTAGAACCTAGGATCTATCGGGCCCGCGCGTGAACGCGTAATCTCTAAACCACTGAGCTGGCCGGAATCCAACGGTGTTAATATCTAACTTCAATTAATCCACGAAGATACGCCACCGTCCACCACTGTCATCAATGAGTTACTATCTCATAACAGACCTGGTTGATCTCCACTGTAGGAAATACCTATTGAAGCCACTCACTATGTTGTGGATTCTAACCTCGCGGGGGGGGGCGGTATCGCGGATGTGCACTGTTGAGGAGTCCCGTACTAGAACGAAATGTTCGTCCTGCGATTCCACGTTTACTATAGTGATCTACCTTCAACTGACTCACGGATTCAACTAATAAATTACTATAATATCCATAAAAACCCCTTTTCATATAAGTATTTATTGAACATTCTTATTTTATTTCAACCTTTTGATGTTATCCTCTAATTCGGTTACAACATAGAAAATCAAAAACCAAAGAGATAAATGCGTCCTTTTCTTTACCTCTTTTTTATTCATTTTAAAGGAAATAAGATTAGAATACTAGTTAAGGCTTAATTTATTTATTGATCAGCTTGTTTGTTTGTTTACATAATCAAATTGTTGTTTTTTATTCACTAAATTTCCATACTTCAACTTCATCGACTACGAGAAAGCATTTGATAGTATGAACAGGATAACACTATGGAGGCTTTTTCGACACTAAGACATTCCTTAGAAGATAGTCAATATCATATGGAATTCCTATGATGGATTAAACTGCAAAATCGTTGACGGAGGACAATTGACAGATTCGCTCGAAGTAAAGACCGGTATCATGCAAGGTTGCTTACTCTTACCATTTCTTTTTCTTCTGGTGACCGATTGGATTATGAAGACCTCAACATCTAGGAGGGAGAGAAGCATGGGATGCAGTGGACAACTAGGATACAGCTGGACGACCTAGACTTCGCAGATGATCTGGCTCTTCTATCGCACACGCAACAACACATGCAGGAGAAGACGACCAGTGTGGCAGCAGTCTCAGCAACACTACATCTCGACATACACAAAGGGAAAAGCGAAATTCTCCTATACAACACAACATGCATCAATAAAATCACATTTAACGGAGAAGCTTTGGAAAATGTAAAAATCATTACATCTGTGAGCAGTATCATTGAAGAACATGATGGGTCTGATGCAGATGTGAAGGCGCGAATTGGAAAAGCAAGAACAACATATCTACAACTAAAGAACATCTGAAACTCAAAACAACTGTCAACCAACACCAAGGTCAGGATTTTCAATACAAATGTCAAGACAGTTCTACTGTATGAGGTGGAAACTTGGAGAACTACGAAAGCCATCATCAGAACATACAAGTGTTTATTAACAGTTGTCTACACAAAATACTTCAGATCTGTTGGTCAGACAATATCAACAACAACCTAATGCGGGAGAGAACAAACTAGGTCCCAAAGGAGGAAGAAATCAAGAAGAAGCGTTGGGAGTGGATAGGACATACATCGAGACATGCATCCAACTGCATCACAAGGTAAATCCTCAAGTCCAAAAGAAAAGAGGAAGACCAAATAACACATTACGTCGAGAAATGGAGACAGATATTAGAAGAATGAACAATAATTGGATAGAACTGGAAGGTAATGCCCAGGACAGAGTGTGTTGGAGAATGCTGGTCGGTGGTCTATGCTCCATTGGGAATAACAGGCGTAAGTAAATTTCCATACTTAAATGTAACGTTTTTGTATACACGAATGTAATTGATTAAGTAATCCATTTATTTAACAATTGTCCATATTGTACTCTAAAATTGAAATTGTGTAAGGTGACGAATGCAAATTATGTATAAATGATACTGTAAGACAAAAACTGTTCAGGTTTTGGTTTTATATGTGTTCTGATGTTTGATAGTAGTGAGTTATCAGTCGAAAATCATGGATCAGAGATTTCGCTTTTTGGTGATCATAAACAAGGCTTACTTGGATTCTAAGGGGAACTGAATGAAGCGGCTATTTACTACTCTTCAATTTCTCCCAATAATGTCAGGTCGTAATTTAAAAAGTACAAATATCGATAAATCATTCAAATGACAGTTATATCTATGAACTGTGATGTGTCAGTTATGAATAATTTTAATTAGAGAAAGGTTTTGTGGACATTATAGCAATTTAGTAGTTGAATTCATGAGTCAATTATATGTAGACCACCATGAAAAACGTGGAATCACTGGTCAGTCGTTTCGACCCAGTATGGGACCCACCAGCAGTGCGCATCCACGATCCCGCCTCGCGAAGTTTGAACACAGGACCTATCAGTCTCGCACACGAACACTTAACCTCTAGACCACTAAGCCGGCCAGCATCGAACGGTGTTAATATCTAACTTCAACCGATCCACAAAAATGAGTTATTATCTCACAAGAGACCTGGTTGAATTTCATTGGTCACTACTTCTCACTAAAACTGCAGGAACTACCTATTGAAGCTAGATCGATAGGTCCTTGGTTCTAAACTCGCGGGGGTCGGGATCGTGGATGCGCACTTCTGAGAAGTTCCATGCTAAGACGAAATGACCATCCAATGCTTCCAGGTTTTCCATAGTGTTCTAGCTTCAATTAACTCATGAATTCAACTACTGAAATGAATGATTTATCAAATAAATTTGTTTACTATTCTTCTTATTAGATTGTATAGATAAAATTTAAGTATATAAACATAAATAGATGAAGCGTTAAGCGAAATATAAGTTGGTAAAGGTATAAATGTATCTATATACAAACGAATTAGTCACTAGTTTAGATAAAGTAGCTGACTGGATTAAATTATGAAATACGATTTACATATCCGTATATATATCTACATAACCTAGTTCTCAGCATAGTTTTATCTCTCTGTCTTCATTGCCTAATTAATTGTAAACTACTTTTGTTCCCAATGATTTCTACTCTAACTGTTATTGTTCTTTATTACGTGGTCACTTTGTTCTGTTTTGTTCGTTTTAATACTGTGTTTTTCTTTTAAATGTCAATTATTTGCCTTTGGTGGCCCTTGGATCTGACTCCAAGATCGTATAAATGTTTGTGAAATAATGCAAGTGTAATTAAAATAGTAATATAAATCCACGGTTATAATTATAGTTCATATGA